ACATTTTGGTTCCTGACTGTTAGGTTTGTTAATTTACTAGCATTCCATCTTCCTTATCCTCTGGACAGTACTCAAGCAAGGAATGAAATATTTGGAGAAAACAGATTATTTGATATTCTTGCTGGTTTATGTTTGGTAAGAGTCTGAGGGCAGGAACTGAAGCAGAGACCATTCGGGAATGCTGCTAACTGGCTTATTCCCCCTGACTTGCTCAGCTGTTTTTTTTTACCTAACCCAGGCCCACCTGCCCAGGATAGTGGGACCCACAGTGGCCTGAACTCTCCCATATCAAACTTGCAGGTGGTTTTTTTTTCTGTTTTGAAGATTAAGTCCTGTTTTTTGTTATATTTGATAATTTTTTGATAGAAACTTCTAACAAAATCTGAACAGATTGCCTTGATCGTGTATAGGCTGGTCTATTACAGGTTTGCCAATATTCCCAGGCCAGCTTACAGATCTCAAAATGGCTGCAGTTTCAATTGAGGGCTCCTTGTCTTCGCTAGGCCCTTCAGTCAAAATTTGTCTCTCTAGTGGAGAGAATGCTGAAATGTTTGCTCAAGAATATTAAAGTTTCAGAAATAAACTTGCTCAGCTCCTCCGCCCCATTACTTGGTACTTGCTCCATGTGTGCTGAGTTTGTGCGTGGAAATACCCGGAGAGGAAGGGCACAGGGTGGGAGTGGGGGCTGGGGCTTAGTGCTGTTCATCCTTCCCATGATTTTGGCTCAAATTCCAGCAGCCTTTGCTGCTCTCATCAGTGAGATCTTCACATAATTCTTTCCAGTTTTGTCTGTTCTTTCAGTTTCTCAAGAGGATTGTTTAGAACACCTGCTGTATCATAAACAGAGTTCCTCTTGAAGGATTTTGGCTTAAAAAATTAAAACTAGTTGATTGCTAATTAGCGTACAAAATAGTTTCACTGTGATATCTTTAGACATAGCATTGCACCTTGCTCTCACTCATTCCCCCACTGCCCTCCCTTCTGGTCCCACTCTTCCCCACAAATAATCCCCCTTCTGTTTTCTTGTCACATTTTGGTGTGTGTATCTAAATGCTTCTGCATATGAAAGCGTTTGTCTTTCATTACCTGCTTACCCTCTCTGCTCTGCCTTCCCTCTCGCTCAGCCTCTCCGTTCCCTTTATTGTCCCTGTTCTACTTTCATGGCACATACACATACTCACACACACACAACAGAACACACAAACACAAACACAAGCACATATGTGTATTTAAAATCTAGATTCTATATATGAGAGCAAGCATTTGTCCTTCTGAGTCTGGACTATTTCACTCAACATGATGATCTCCAGTTCTATGCATTTTCCTACCAATGACATAATTCTTTATAGTGAATAAAATTATACTGTGCATATGTCCCACATTTTCTTTATCTATCTATCTTTTGACAGATATCTAGGCTGGTTCCATATCTTAGCTACTATGAATAGTCTAGCAATAAGCATGGATGTTCAAGAGATGCTGTAATATTGTGATATCTATCCTTCAGATGTATGTCCAGAACTGGTACAGCTGTATCATACTTAAATTTATGTTTTAGATTTTGGAGGAACATTCACACTAATTTCCTTACTGCCTGCACTACTTTGCCCCTCCCCAGCGATATGTAAGGGCTCTGCTTTACCCTTATCAGCATCTGTTGTCATTTGTTCATTTTTTGTGTATAGAAAAGCTCTCAGTTTCCCTCTTTTGTTTGTGGCCCCAGCACCACAGGGAGAGGGATTCTCCCTATTCTTTCTGTTTTGTTAAGCACTCCTGGAGTCTGTTTCCTTTGGAAATACAATGTCTATTATTGTGGATTTTATATTTCCTCTCCTCTCTATACTGTGACTCTCTTCTGCCATTCTAGCTTCTATTATCATGGATCAGGTGTTTTCTTTCAGATTCACGGGGCCATAAGGGAGTGCTGTTTGACTGTTAGCTTACAATATTCCTCCTATTTAAATTTTTAAGCGAAATGTTATTGATTCAAGAATTTCATACAGTGAATTTTGATTATATTCATACCTTCTCCCCATCTCCACCCTCACTCTATCCCCCTCCCCTCCTGACTTCATGTTTCTATTAGAAAATGAAAACCCCCATCTAACTTACATAAAACCCCTAAACTGGGTGCCAGGGAAATCATATCTCATCAGCGCATCAGTGATCTGTAATTCTGAGTTCAGAATTTTGAGGTCAATATAGAAATATCAAGATTCTTAATAAACTAAGAGGCCCAGAGTCACATGTTAAGTCCTTGTGCTGAGAGTTGCTGTTGCCAACATTGCTCTGACCGTGTGGCCATCTTGGCCCGCCAATTTCTTTCTTTCTTACTTGCAAAGTCCCAAGTTCAGAATTTTGAGATCAGTACACAAGCACTGATCAATATGGTCAGGCAAACATTCATCTCATGTAATAAGGTTTCTCACATGGTCCATTGCACACGTTCAGTGCCTTGGGAGTCCATGCACCCTGGCCCTGAGGCTGCCAGCCAAGAGTGCACCTCATTCCTATGTTATCTTTTCTCTCAACACCATCATTTTGAGCTGTCTTGTCATAGTCCTTCTTGTATGCATCAAAACCCTTACTGAACAACAAGTTCAGGGTTGCGAAAGAGGATTTTTTTTGTACCTGTCTTTTATGCCTTTGTCCTCCAGTTGAACAAACACACAAGTCCTCCCCTCTATTTAAATTTTAAGGGGGCTTTTATAATTTTAATAAAACATTTAAAGCCTAATTTATAGTTAACATTCAGTTTCTGCTTTAAAATCTTAAGTTGCTTAGCTATTGCTTTGATTTATTTAATCTTTACACTTAATTTTTTTGTATTTTTTAGGATCTTTTTAAAATTATTTATTTAATAACCACATGATTAGAAGAAGCATTTCATTACAGCATTAACATATTCGATAGCAATTTCCAAAGCAAAGATGTATCTCTTTCAAAAGTGGCTGTAAAGTATTGTTGTTCCTGATTATTACAGTTATACAAGAATTAATACAGTTATACAATATTGTATGCAGTATAAACCCTATAAGACATATAATTGAATGAGGTTTTAACCTTTAAAAAAGATCTCCATTTCATTTAAAAATATATTGTTTCATACAGAAAAACTCATTTTTAATGCTACTAACACTTAGATGTTTGCACATACATCTCTAATCTCTATGTATTTGATTATTACTAGTCACAGTCAGTTATGCTTGGATCCTTGCACCTGAGCATGGATATAAAGTCATCAGGTAGATTTCAATGGTAATGTTTTTCACCTCTACTAATTAACATGAAGCAAATTTTTATGCTTCTTCCTCAAATATAACTCATTTTTTTATTTGTTGATTTTTTTTTGTGTGTGTATTTCATACAGAACATCCCAAACAATCTTATTCATCTATATACCACTTCCCAAATGGCACCCTCCCATAGCACCCCCCACACTGGAACCCATATACACTGTCATCTGTTACTGTCCACTGTGTTGTCGGCACCCCCAGCTGTTCCCTAGTGCTTGTCCATCTGCTGAATCTAGTCAGCCTATCTAGAATTCCTTTCTTAACTTTTGTTTTACATTACAACAGTGTTGACATATTCAATAACAATTTCCAGAGCTAAGATGCATCTCCTTCAAAACTGGGTATAAATTTTTAGGTTTGCAGTTGAATTAATACAGTTATACAATATTTTACTCAGTATAAGCCCTTTAAGACATGAAATTGTATGAGTTTTTTAAATTATTTATTTAATAACCATATAATTAGAAGAAGCATTTCATTACAACAGCATTGACATATTCAATAACAGTTTCAGAGCTAAGTTGCATGTCTTTCAAAATTGGCTGTAAATTTTTAGGTTTACAGTTGAATTGATACATTTATACAATATTGTACTCCATATAACCCCTATAAGACATAAAATTAAATGAGGTTTTAAACTTTAAAAAAGATCTCCATTTCATT